TCTTATTAAAGTACATTTCTTTAGGGAAATGATCTGTGCTTTAAGTGCTTTGCACTACTACATACCCAAACTCCTTTAAAAAATTATGATTCATTGTTTATTTCTAAGGCAAAGGAAAAGATCTTTAGAAAGATGCCATGATATTCTAACCCACAAAATTAAATTTTCTCTCACAGTAGCCTGTTCATGTCTAATATAAATAAGACTGAAATAAAAGGCAATTTGTTATCAATGTTTCCAAAAAGTTTTGAATTATTACAACTGTAGCTTGACCAAGTTTTCCCCATATCTCCCTTTCTCTCCTGTGAGTGCTTTCAGCTATATACTGGTGTGGGTTAGGTTTTTTTTTTTTTTTTTTTTTTTTTTTTTGTGGTACTGGGGCTTGAATTCAGGGCCTGGCACTTGCTAGGCAGGCCCTCTAGCACTTGAGCTACTTCACCAGCCCTCAGCCAGCTTACTTAAAGCTTTAACTTAAAAGAAACTTTTTTTTTTTTAGTCAGATGTGGGTGGTTATGCCTGTAATCCTAGCTTCTTGAGAGGTTGAGATCTGGAAGATTGCAGTTTGAGGCCAGTCCTGGCAAAAAAAGTAGTGAGACCCCCACCTCAACCAATAGCTGGGTGCAGTGTGTGTGCTTGTCATCCCAAGCTATGTGGGAGGTTGAGATGAAGAGGATCAAGGTTCCAGGTCAGCCTGGGCAAAAATGTTTGTGATACTCCACCTTAACAAAAAAAAGCTGGTCTTGGTGGTACGTGCCTGTCATCTCAGTGACAGTGGTAAGCATAAAATAGAAAGATTGCTATCCAGATTGGCCACAGCAAAAAGGGCTGGATGTGTGCTTCAAATGATAGAACACCTACCTAAGAAGAGTAAAGCCCTGAGTTCAAACCCCAGTACTGTCTGTTACTTTTTTTTTTTTTTAATCATCATATTATCAGTTGTTTGCTGTAGTCTGGTACCCGTGGGATTCCCAAGACCATTTTATAGGGCATGTAAGTTGAAACTGTTTTCGTGGTAATAAGATAGTGCTGACATTTTTGACTCTCATGCTCTTCTTAGTATTGTAGAGCTTTTAGGGGTTCATGATGTGTGATGATGTTCTGTTGACTGAATGATAACTGCTGCCTGGTTAGATAAGGCCCAGTTTCCTCGCTTAGACAAACATCATGATTCATTGTGCATTTATTGATCATGAGTGAGGGTCCCTGTATTCTGCTTTGTGAGTAAAATTTAAAGTTTACTGTCTACAGTTGACAGGTGAGAGATGTGATTACTGAAGTTCTAAGGGATCTTATTAGCCATCCATCCACCCCTTCATTTTATTGGTGAGGAAATCAAGGCTCAGATTGACTTGTTTCTATCTTATAAAGTGTTTTAGTGAAGCTATTTTGGTACCCAGATTTACCCTAAATGCATGATAGGATAGATTATCAGGACTCAGAATGCCAGTATTCTCTTTAAAATCATTGTGCGTTGTATATACATTGGTGTTTACTGTATTAGAATTTAAAAAGAAAAATTTTGAAATATGAGTACATTTAAAACAATAATAGAAAACCCATTGAGTAGTAACAGGAGCACGTATTTTAAAATGAAAAGTAAGTATCTTTCCAAACAAAATAATTTAGTAGAGTTGCTGCAAATATCTCTGATTCTCTGTCTCTGTAATTCAATCAGTTGTCATGTGTTTTGGTTGAAATATATGAAGTAACTGACTTCACCAAATACGTTGTTGAAAAATCAAGGAATTTTTTTCCAGAAAATTTTGGCTATTTTTTGGTACTTCACTCAAAACTTGAAAATTAGTAGTTTTCTTTTATTTTTTAGTTTTGTTGAGGTAGGGTCTTGCTATATAGCCAGGCTGGCCTTGAACTTGCTTTATAGCCCAATCTGGTCTCAAATTCATAATCTCCTACCTAACTTCCCTAGTGCTGGGATTATAGCTATAGCAATGTACCAATATGCCTCAAGTGGTAGTTCTTTCTTTCTTTCTTCTTTTTTTTTTTTTTTTTTGTGGTACTAGGGTTTGAACTTAGGCCTCACAAGGCACTCTTACAGATTGAGCCACATCTCCAGCCCCATTTTGTGTTGAGAATTTTCGAGATACGTTCTCTTCATCTATTTGCTTGGGCTGGTTTTAAACTCTGATCCTCCTGATCTCTGCCTCCTGAGTAGGTAGGATTACAAATATGAGCCACTGGTGCCTGGCAAGTGGTAGTTTCTTAAAGCTAAGTTTCAACTGGAGGGGTGGCTCAGGTCCTAGAGCGCTGGCCTAGTGGTCAGAAGGTACAGAGTTAAAGTTAAGTTTCAGTTTAAAGTCTAAAACCCTATCAATGGACATTTCATCCTCTGTTACATAAAGATCCATTGGTGTGTCTTGAATTTTGAATGGATCTTTAACCCAGCCCTGCTTTTGTAACATACACTGCCATTTGGAAAATAGTAGTTCTGTGAGTTGTGCAGATCTTCTAAATGTTGACACATTCATTATACAATGTTAAAAGGCACATTTGTTAATATTGCTGATCCAGAAAGGTTTCTAAGGATTGGGAAACTGTCACACTTGGAGTGGCAGAAACATGTTTTCCAATACTTAAATTTTTGCTTGAAAGCTCAAATTTTATTATTGGGAACAAACATGTCATGTCTTTTTCTTGAATCATCAAACTCATTTATTAAAAAAAGAATAAGTTATATTCTCAAGTCTGAATAACCATAATTTGTTTGACTGATTTGTTTTGTTCCAGGTAAAAATGGCGTTCTATGATAATTGTGCAAATGCTTCTCCTTGAGACAGCCGTGCTTCCCATTTTAGATTAATCTGGTAAAGCGAGTTAGGAACCTTCAAAATACAAGAAGGCAGGAACCAAAAGTGAATTCCTCCTCACATTTTGCACTGTCAGTACCTCATTTGCTGCACTCTGGCCCTGAGATTAATAATTTTTATTGCTTCATCAAAGATATTCTTCTTTTTGGTTTTTTTCTTTTCCTGGTCTTTTTTATTGTGTTAAAATAAGCATAACATAAAGTTTCCATCTTAATTATTTTTAAGTGTTCAGTTCAGTGATGACTTATAATATTGTATTACTATTACCACCATATATCTTCATAAATAACTCTTTTCATCTTGTAAAACTGACAGTCTTCCCATTAAACAGTATCTCCTCATTTCTCTGTTGCCTGGCAATTAATATTCTACAGTCTGTTTCTGATTTTGACCAAGTATTTCATATAGATGGAATCACACAGTATTTTTCTTTTTGTTATTGACTTTTGTTTTTGTACTTAATGACCTAAAGATTTATTCATGTTATGGCATCTATCAGAATCTCCTTCTTCTTTAAGAATGAATAATATTTCATTGGATGTGTACACAATGTCTTACTTATTCATTGATAATCCACTGATAGGCATTTGCTTTATTGTTGTGTTTTGATATATGCTGTAATCTGTTTTGGTACCTAGAATTGTTAAACATTAGTGATGTTTAACTTATGACTAGGTAGGAGGATTGGATAAAGTTCTGGAAACTGCTTCTTTACACCTTCCACAGGATTTGACCAATAATGTTTAAGCTTCTTAACATGTTATGGTAGTGGTTCCACCTTATACCTGCACAATGAAATCACCTGTAATGATCTAAAACCTCCATCTATGGTCCCATCCTTAGATTTAATTGGCTTGGAGTGCTGCTGGGACACTGGGATTTAGAAAGTTCCCCAGTTGGTCCAAAATGCAGCCATGGTTGAAGACTGCTGCTTTATAGGGAATAAATAGTTTTGTTTTGTTTTTTTTCTTTTGTGATGCCCTCTACCACTGAGCTACATTCCCAGCCCATGAGCAGTTTTTTTTTTTTACGAGTTTAAGATAATTATTTAAGAGGTTTTTTAGGCTAGATGTGGCCACACACACCTGTAATGCCAGCGTTCAAGAGACTGGAACTACATTGCAAGACCCTGTACCAAATAAATGTTTATCAAGAGTAATGTAGGTAACAGGAGGAGAGGGAAAAGGTCACCACAAAAATACTCCTACACGTGTATTGGCACAACCTTCAGACTGGCATACCTAAAATGTAAACTAGGGCTGAGACACCACAGCTCAGTAGCAGAGCTCTTGCCTTGCCCTGTAGAAGGCTATGGGCTTCATCCAGTACCAGCAAGAAAACCTGTCATCTGTTGCTACATGCAGGTTAAGTTGAATTTCACGTGATACCTGTTGCTTGGATATCGCAGGCTGCCAGCTCACCTATTTCAATCTTTTCTTGGTGCTCTGCCACTGCGTGAATAGCAGTGTAGTTCCTCCTGCTGGAAGGCTTCTTTCTCAGTGTAGCCATTTCCATATGTAAATCTGGGCGGTGGCTAAGTTTCTTCCAGCCTGAATACATTTCCATAGTACCTGCTCCTTAGGAGCCCAGTAGTAGCTAGCTTTGGAATACTCATTGGAACCTAAAGGCTTAAGGTCTGTAGCTAAGTGGGGAGGAATGGTAATTCAACAAAGTGGTGGTGATATCTATCAAATGCCATCTGGGGACATGGACATTAGGAAATCAGGATTCCCTTTTCACCCCAAGCCTAAAAGCCTTGTTTAGGGTTGGTGGCAGAGACCAGGGCCCATGAGGTCCATTTTGTTCACTTCCCCTTACTTAACACTCTTAAAGCAGGTTTTCTTTAAGAACTGGCTCAGTGGTTGGCAGCCTGGTAATTTAGGGCTAGCCAGCAGGGTGGAAATGAAGGAAATCCTGGTGAGAACTGATGTCACACAGGCTGAAGCCAAATAGATTTCCAGGACACCTTCCTCAGACAGTGCCATGAGCACTGTTTTGATTAACTGTTTCCTCAGATGTTTTCTATACCATTTAATTGAGTAGAGATAACTATTTCTTAAAATGAATTTTAACATATACAGGCACATTTCTTTAGGTTCTTACTATGTTTTTCTAATTTTTTTCATAGAATTGAAAGTTAAATATATTCAAAGGATTTTTCTCTGTTTCTTTTAGAGCTGAAGTTGGGAGAACTGCTTCATGATAAGCTTAAGTATTTATGTGTCCTTTAAATTAGTGTAATATAATAATTCAATCTTTTTTTCTCATATGGAGTAGTTTCCTGAAGTCTGGGTAATTTACATTTCAAAGCTATAAAAATGAATTATAATATACTGTTAACTTTGGTAAACTATTTTGGGGCAGCTAACCTTAGCTATGATGTGAAATGGTTATACTAGTGAAACTTTGACTTATGACCTTTTCTTAGAGTAGATTTATTGACTGTAGGATTTCTTGAAAGATATCAATTACCATTATGATAGATTGGTTGATGGTCAGATTTCAGGTGATGACCAAATGCCTATGAGGAAGTAAACTGAGTCCCCCTAACAAAGCAAAATAAAAGGAAATGCTTAATTATATTTATATTCCCATGGGTAGGTTCAGTTTCCATAGAACTATGGCCAGGCTCAATTTTCAGTAGGAATATTAAATTTTGAATTACAGATGATTGGACATTGTTTGTTGGGGTGAGGAGAACCTGAATTCAGTTCTTAAACTTTTGTGTCATCAGAATCATATGGAATTGCTTTTAAAAAACTACTGTAATCCCAGCTAGTTAGGAGGCAGAGATCTGGAGGATTGCAGTTTGAGGTCAGCTCAGGGAAAAGTTATACAGGCCCCATCTCAATCAATAAGCCAGGTTTAGTGGCATGCATGCCTGCCATCGCAGCTACAAGGGAGGCATAAGTAGGAGGATTGTGGTCCAGGCCAGTCTGGGCAAAAAACCTGAGATCTTACCTGAAAAATAACTACAGCAGAAAGGGCTGGTGCATGGCACAAGTAGAAAGTGCCTACCTACCAAGAGTAAAGCTCTTAAGTTCAAACTCGAGTACTACCAAAAATCCAAAACAAAAAAACAAGGAAACATCCATGGCCAGAGTCAAAACATTTACTAGGTCTGGCTTGGGGCCAGGTTTTGATTTCTGACATATTCCATGGTGAGGGTTTGATGTTGCTGATCCACATTGAAAATTTAAACTACTTTTGCAGTTGTGTTAATTAATGTTTTCCTTTATGGTTTTGTAAAAAACTGGTGTTTGTTTCCTAGTTTTAGGTTTAGAACTTAAATCTGCCTGGGATTTTATTTTTCCAAATTGTGTAAATCAAAGATTTAATTTTTTCCAAATGGTTAGCCATTTTTCTCCACAGTATTTATTGACTAATCTGTTTTCCATCTTTGTCATACATAGTTCTCACAGAAACTCAGGTGTGGACTGTGTTATTTTCCATTGAATGGGTTTAATTTTTGTAGCTTTATAGTATTTGATATTTGGTGAATCTGTATGGTTTTTATTGACAAAATTCTTTTCCATTCAAATGTTTTCTCCTTTGGCTTGGATGAGCTTTGAAAATATTATTTGGTTTTGGTTAACATTTATCAAATTTGTAGATGAGAGTTGTCTCTATTAATACTGTCATAATGTAATATTGTCAGGACATCTTAAATTGAATGTTAAGAGATTAGAGAAATTAGGATAAAAAGAATATCATTCTATTACTGTTTGTCTGAGAGAAATGATTTAATATGATGAGGCAGGTTGTTTATTTTCCTGGAAGTCTAATGCTTAAAAAATACAGTCAGTATTTGATGACTAGTCAAGTTTTCTTTTAACATTTTTGGTGGACTGGGTTTGAACTCAGGGCTTTGTGCTTGGCAGCACACTACACTTGTGCCACAACACAAGCCTAGTCTTGCTTTCTTGTAGACTTTTCTTTTCCTGTCTCATTTCTTTTCTTTTTTTTTAAATGTTATTTTATTGTTTTTATATTTACTAATATGTGTATACATTAGTTGGGTTCCCTCCCACCTCCCATTTCTTAAGGCATATCTCAAGTAATGATATACTTACTAATCAGCTTTCAGTATACCACAACTATCTGCTTTTGATGTGCCAGAGTGTTGTACTTTAAGACATGAAGAAAATGAAAAATAAAGTAAAAGTTATATGTGATAATGATTATTCCAAATGTGACTTTCTGAATATTTGATAAAATTATTTAAGGAAGGCGAAGTAAAATACATCATGTATCAGTTGATCTCTTATTTTCAAAAGTTTCTAGTGCACAGCCTTTTTGAAGGAAGCATAAAGATTTTTTTTTCTAATTTTTTTCTCCCACTGTTCATGTAAAATAACTTGAGTGACAAGAACATGAAAGAATTTTTTGTTAAGGGACATAACTAAAGTATTATTAGAAAGACTACAAGGATACCATTGTTGTTAAAAGTAATATAATAATTTTTAGGCCATCATGGGAATCTGGGTCACAAATTGTGGGTTTAATTTATTTGCAGATTTGGTCTTTTTGAAGCTATGTTGCTATTGAAATGATGGATCCAAGATGGATGCTGGCATGATTGGAAATCAAGTTAATCGAAAAGTTTCAATTTTGAACAAGCTATCAAGGTACTCACCATTGTACTTAAAAGAAAAACTTCTGGTATTTCATGTTTTAAAATGCACTTAGTAATGAAATTGACCGGTATGCACAGATGTAGTTTTTAAAGCATTTCATGTATATGAACAAGAATTAGTTACAACCTTTAATTACCTTGCAATTAAAATCTCGAATTATTTGAGGACCTCATTACAAACTTGCTCTAAATTTGTTCATTTTTATTTTTTAAACTAATGTTTGAAAGCATTTGTGTATATATTCAGATGCTGGGACAATTGGCTTAGATGTTATTTTTATGTATTAGTATGTTAAGCAAAATGCTATGGTTTTTTTATTTAAAATTTACTCAGCGCTGACTTAGAAATTCATTTGTAGTTTCCACACAGTTTAATTTTGCATGTTTTATGAAAAAAGAATGGCTAAGCAAATGGATATTGTAACTAAAATTACAAGTCATATAATTAACTTCAGGAAAGTATTTTCTTAAATGTTTATTTTTTTTCTTTGTAAGTAGCTTTAAGTCATTAAAATGATTCATATTTATTACTGCTTAAGATTAATTTGAGCCAAGTGGGTGGCACATGCTTATAATCCCATCACTCTGGAGGTGGAGGCAGAAAGTTGTTAAGGTTGAGACCAGTATGGGCAACATAGTTAGTTCCAAGCCACCCAGGGCCACATAGTAAGCTTGTCTCAAAAAAAAATAAAGAAAAAACCCAATTTGAAGTGTGCTTTAAAAATACTTATTGATGTTACTTCATTATAAAGACTTTTACTGTATTAGAGAAGTTTTAATTTTTCTTATTAGACTTGTTTAAGATATACTGTTCTATTATTATTTGTCATTTAAAAATAGAATTTTAACAAGTATCTTAAGGATGCAGTTAACTTGCTGTCTTACTGTAGTTTTATCAGATGATAAGTTAGTGTTTTCTTAAAATTGCTTTTTTTTTTAAATATCTGTTTTGAAATCTCAAATGCTACTGTACTAGTAACCATAAATCTAAAAAAAAAAATTCTGCTTATATGTTATATCTCTCTCCCTTTTTAGGATGGCACTATTAAAATTAAAGACCTCACTTTGCCTGAATTGATAGGGATAATGGATACATGTTTTTGTTGTTTGGTAAGAATTAAAATACGACTGTTGGTTAGCTTTCTAATCTAGGATAAATTGTTGTAAACTGGTAATCTTCTCTACTATGAAGAAAATTTTTAGTGATTTATCTTTGCTGGATATGTCTTCTAGACAGTGGTAATGTAATTGTGGAAAAATTCTCATTTGTACTATTTTTTCCCTACTTTCTGATCTCTTCTTTCTTTTTAATTGACATTAAATCATTATCCTTAGAAACGTGTAATTTTATTCCTTTATTTAGGAAATATTGATTGCCAAGTGTACAATTTAGTGTTTTACATGTACAGTTTCTACTTATGTCCTACATCCTTTAGGTTTCTGTATTGTCTTATATTGACTATGGTTGTATTGCTAAGAAGGGACTTAACCATAATCCTAATCCTGACCTTCATCCTCTGAAGCTGTCTCTGCCTCAAAGATATCTATATTACTTTTTAGTATGTATAGTCCTACTGGGGTAGAAACGCAGAGACTGAGACAGATATGCCAAGGAACAATTCTGCAAATTGTGTAAATGTTTTTGTAATGAAGTCGTGGGGGGTAGAGAGGAAGGAGAAGAGGATAATTATGTCCTGTTCAGGGAGTAAGAAAGCTGTAGAGAGGAAGTGACACGGGGTTGACCAGAGGGTAACACTATTTTAGGCATAAAGGTATATTGCATTGCCATGGCAGAGTGAAAATGTTCAGTTTAGGGAATCATGAATAGCTACTTGTGGCTGAAGTCTGGCAAGGGGCCAAGTGGGAGGAGTGTGCACTAGAGAAAGAGGGAAAATTAAACAGTATTTTTGCCAAACGACTAATTCTATGAGGCTCTTGAGTTTGGGCTTTAATAGACATTGGTTTTTAATAGACAGGTTTTTGACTGAAAAGTCTCCTGCACAGTAGTTATTCCAAGTACACATCTTAATTACATTTTTCACATTCATTTCTCATTTGTAATACAGTAGAATCTTGGGCTTAGTGTAAAATATAACAGTAAACTTGGGAAAATTATTTAAACGTTTGATTCTGTTCCTTATGGAGGAAATAACACCTTTCTCAGAGGGTTAGGAAAAATGGGAAGATAAATGAAAATATATAGCATACTACTTTGGACATAGCACTTACTCAATCTTGAGTTGGTATTCCTACCTATAGCATGTAGTGAATAGTGTTGAAGGCTTATCTTTGTGTTGCAGAAAGACCCCTGTGGTTGGGGTATCAAATAGAGATGGAAAGTGGGAAGGCCATTGCATAGTTTTTGTAGTAATCTAGTGAACTGATGTTATTGCTTGAGTAAGTGATGAATGAGGGTAAGAGTAGAATGACAGGCAAAGAACATGTATAGTTCTAAAATTTTGAATCCCCAATTTGAAATTTTATCTTCTATGTTGTACAATTGTCTTGAATGCAACATAAGGAGATAATCTAATTTCATTAGTCTCCAAGTATATTGCATGCTGAATTACTAA